AGACTGGTGCTAATCCCAAAAGGAAATAGCGCCCAGGACGCTTCAGGCTACCGGCCGCTCTGCATGATTGACACTGCCGGCAAACTACTGGAAAAAATAATTAGCAGAAGACTGGACGAAGCACTGGAAGGAGATGGCCTCTCAGACCGACAATATGGCTTCCGCAAAGCCCGCTCCACAGTAGATGCGATAGCAGCAGTTATACACACAGCGAAAGACGCCATTAAAGGAGTGCGGTGGCTCGAGGGAGAAAAAGAGTACTGCGCCATTATCACGCTGGACGTGAAAAATGCCTTTAACTCAGCAGACTGGGATGTCATTCTTGCAGCACTTGATGGGAAAAATGTACCAAAGTACCTAGTAGAGATCATTAGGGACTACCTTAACGACAGAGTGCTCCTGTACGACACAGACGAAGGCAGAAAGCATTATGCCGTGACAGCGGGTGTACCACAGGGATCAGTGTTAGGCCCAATACTATGGAACATAATGTATGATGGCATACTTAGGCTGGAACTGCCCAAGAGGGCAGAAATCACTGGGTTCGCGGACGATATAGCAATAGTAGTGACGGGAAAACACCTTGACATACTGACAAGAATGTGTAACAAAACTGTAGCAATAGCTAGGAGCTGGATAGCAAGCATAGGACTCAAACTAGCTGACCACAAGACAGAGGTGCTACTTGTAAGCAGCAGGAAAAAAGTAGAGTTCATAACAATAGAAGTAGGGAATGAACAGATCACCTCAAAAGCAGCAATCAAGTACCTGGGAGTCATGATAGACAACAGACTCAACTACAAGGAGCACCTCAAATATGTTGGAGGACGGTGTGCTGGAGTAAGCAATGCCCTAGCACGAATAATGCCCAACCTTGGTGGACCGAGGCAAGACAGAAGGTTACTATTGATGAATGTAGTCACATCAGTAGCCCTATACGCAGCGCCCATCTGGTCTGAAGCAATGGCTAAAACTTCATATAAGAAGCACCTGCTCTCAGCCTACCGAAGGTGTGCCCTTAGGGTATCTTTCTCGTTCCGTACTGTATCAACGGAAGCAGCAATAGTAATCGCAGGAATGCCACCGCTAGAGCTGCTGGCAGAGGCAGAAAAGCAGAGGTACCTTGGCAGAAGAACCGGCGTAACATACTCCCGGAGGCTAAGTGATGAGGCGATGGCAACATGGCAACACCGCTGGGACACATCCACCAAAGGAAGATGGACACACAAGCTGTTAGGAAACATAAAGGAGTGGATCGAAAGGAGACATGGGCAGGTCAACTACTATTTGGCCCAGCTGCTAACAGGACATGGCTGTTTTCGCGCATACCTGCACAAATACAAGCATGACAACAACAACACTTGCCCGGAATGTGCAAGTTGCATAGAAGATGTAGAACACGTGTTCTTCCACTGTTCGCGATACGACCGCCAGCGGAACCACCTAGAAAGGGTAGTAGGGGCGCAGGTTACACATAGTACGGTAGTAAACCTGATGCTGGCATCCATCGAAAACTGGACCCATGTGTGCGACTTCGCCAGAGAAGTCATAAAGCTACAAAGGATGGCAGAAAAAGAAAGAGCTGCAACCCTAGAGATCAGCACTCGCTGAATCACCACCCCCTGAAGTCATGCTTGACGGCGGTACCGGGGGGAACACATGGTCTGGAGGATACGGATAAGGATGGGGGTTTAGTACGTAGGCGCGAGCAAGCCAAAGAGTAAGTCTTGTCTCACATGCGAATCGTGCATATTGGTAGCTCGGGCTACCAATATCTTTCGAAGATTACCCAGCCTTTAGCTCGTATAGCTATAAAAAAAAAAAAAAAAAAAAACACAATCAAACAGATGTAGTTGCTGTTGTGCATAAGCTGCCATCAATATAATGAAGATGTATTTGCATATTGTGGGACTGTTGCAGCAACTGCAAGCACTCCACACCGCTCCCATTTCCTTCACATTTCGATGCCAGCTTTTACTTTGCTTTAGCTTTTTGCGCAGCTGACAACTGGCAACAACATCTGCCACAGCACTCTTGGGGGCCACAGTGTTGCATTTTATTGACATGCAAGTTTTACTGTACTGTTGTTCAGCTCGTGTGTGTGTGTGTGTGCGTGCCCTGGACAGCTGCTGCCATCGGGGCTACATGCAACTACACATACAGGTACACTGACAAAAGAGTTTGGGTGTGAATTGACAAATAAATATTGAAAAAGTATACAATTTTTGTCTTTTGCTGTTGAATGGAATATTCTAACAATAAGAAAGTAGTTGTCAATTCTTAATTATTAGTGAAGCAAACATTTCAGTTTCTATATTCAGCACGACTTTCCTCCGACTTTTTTCCGACGTCAGGTTGTGTTGGGATAATCAAAGGTTAGACCACTATATTTGCTTGTTTGTTAAGTTTCAATTATTTAAATATTTTTACATTTTTGAAATGGGCAGAGTGTAATGAATAATAAAGAAATATATTATGCTATATTCTCACTATGAAAGCCGTCATTATTTCTCATATTCATAAGTGTTGTTGTTTCATTAATTAATTAATGAATCAAACTAGTATTCTTTTATTTATTTATTTATTTAAATGAAAAGTACTTTGTTTCGTTTGATAAGTAGTTAGTCTGAATTATTTTCAGCATATTCTAGAATTTAGTTTGAATTTAAATTTAGCTGCAAGAGTCAAACTTTTCATCCAAAGGTTAATCCGCATGGACAAAAGCTGGACTTTAGTGTTGGCGCTTTACTGATTCTGCAGCATCCTGCCATGCTTCGAAAAACATAAAAAGATACAAGTCTAGGCGCCTTGGGGTATTTTGTTCCGTTTGTTGCGAGAAAATTCCTTGGCATAAATAATTTAATTCAAATCTAATATATTTCTAATCTCTGAGTGTACAAATGGATGGCAAAAAAAGCGAAGCTGTTAGAGTTGTAGTTTTAGTTGTTGCAGCACATTTCTCAGTACGCAGCACGCAACAAAAATTTTGCGTTTAACCGCAAAGGATGCGAGAACGCGGGTATTTTTTGAGTAGACTGCGGGCAAATGTTGTTCGTTAGAGGGGCATCGAGGGGGATGTGGGCGCCTGTGTTTTGTTATGCAGCCGCGGGGATGCTGTATTTGTTTTTGCATTTTATATACACGCACGACCGAGCAGGAGAAACCGAAACAGACAGGACCAGACAGGCGAACGGACAATTGCAGAGACAGGCAAGTCAGCGTAAACACACATACGAGTATACTCGGGATATATCAAAAATAGCTAACAATTTTGAAGCGTGGACGTTGCCAGGATTTGGGGTTTTCACCATAAATACAAGCTTTGGGCAATTTCAGGGATGAGTACATGGGTTGGCAATGGAAATGATGGCCACATCGTCATACCCGTCATGCCCCAAAACGTTGCCGCCATCGTCGGCAGCGTCAGCGTCGGCGTCGTTGGTGGGCAATAAAAACCGAAAAATTTTCGGGGCGCTCATAAAGCGTAAAGATAACAAAAATACAGCACACACGCGGCCCGTACAAACACACACACACACACACGTCCCACGTCACATAGTTGTAGCCAAGAGTAGAGGCAACAACAACAATAATAACAAATAACACTCATACGCAACGTGTGCCCAGCATTTGTCGTTCGTTGTTCATTTTTGTTGCTTCGGTTTCTCGGTTTCTGGCTTATGTTTTTTTCCTGTCTTCCTGCGTATTTATTCACCCATCCCCCCTACCACCCACCCCTTCCCCTCTCGCACTCACTTCTGACTTTATTTTATTATTTAATATTTTAAAACACTTGCGGTGTTATTGGGCATTAAAAAACGAAGGCTAAAATAAAACACAAGGCCCTGGCGCAAAATCATCTGCCAGCTAGCGAGCAGCTGCCAATGCTATATTTCTTGCCGATGGGCATCACATTTGTTGTGTTGTTGTGGCTGTTCTGGGTTATTTATGTATGTTGTTTTCTCAGGGCAAGTTTAAGCAACAAACTTTTGCTGAGACTTTAAGCCAGTGTCAACGGACAGCAATCAGACGCCCCAAACTAATCAAGAGCTCGACACGAGTGTAGTAAGGAGAAAGAAAAGATGGAGAAATAAATACGAGTGTGTCATGTCCTCGTTGCGGATGTCATGACACACAAAATTATGTTGCATAATTAGCATGAAGCAGCGCCAAGGCAACACCAACAGCAATAGCAATAGAAACAACAACAACAACAACAGCAGCAAGCAGCTGTGCTCAACTTGTCACAAGCACTTGTACAATCGGTCGCTCCAACTGGAGAGAGGCTGCCAGGGAAAGCTGTTGCCAAGCGACAGGCGCTGGCTAAGCGCAGCTAAGCTGGACAGCAGCAGCTGCTGCTGCCGCCCATGTTGACACGCGCTGGCATTTACACACACCTACACCACACACACACACACACAAGCACACACCCATACTCATTTGCAGCGAGCAAAGCTTAGATTTACATAGATACATTTTTTGAAGTGGACCTTTCATTACGTTTGCTGCTAAAGAACCATTTGAGAGTTGAATTGCCTCTCATTATAGTTATGTACATACTTGTAATGCAATTCATAGCCCACATTTATAACTAACTTAATGGGAGTTCTTTTCACTGAATGGCACAGTGCACTGTCAAAGCAACAAACTATGCTTGTGATTAGATGCATATATGTTTTCCTTCAATAATTTAAACGTATCTATTTGGATGTGGTTGAACTGATTGGAAGCATAATCTTGGATCTAATTAATTATGAATTATGAATTATGCATGGTTTCAGCAGCTTAACTTCGATAGAATACAAGATATTTAAATGATTATTTTTTGGCATTCTAGCATGGTTTAGGGCGCGAATTTGCGCCTCTTATCTTCTTGTTCCTGCTACGATCACACAGCTTTTCTTTCTTTCCTATACTTATATAGGAAGGACACATTCAATCACACCATTAACAATGCATTTGCATTTACAAGTATGTTTGATTTTTCAGTTGGTACTCACCTAAGTGCTGATCAACACGCTTCTTCGGCTTCTGCACACTGGCATAGGGATCACTGCAGTAGTCCTGCCGGGACGGATTCTGGCTGTTGCGCAGATTGTGATATTCGTCGCCCACCTGGCTGGGTGTGGCAGTTAGATGGGGATAGGGAGCATAATCGTCAACAGCTCCGTAGCCGCCATGGGTGAGCGGATCGTAGCCATAAGTGGGCTGTTGTTCCACATAGGTGTTGAGAGGCGCTGCCACTAGACTTTGCTGTGTGCCGACAGCGGCGGCGGACATTTTCACCTGCCACAGCGAATCCTGCGAATTGACGCTGCCACCATTATTCGAATTGGAATAATTGTTCTCCATATAGCCCATGTTGACCCCTGCAAGCATATAACAATGAGGGAAAAAATAGCATCAGAGGAAGCACGGTCAAAAAGTGTTGAAAAATGCCGCTGGCTTTGTATTTGGCCGCGGCCCCAGAACAAATGTGTCGGAAGTGGCACATAAATCCGCTTGACGCGCGTATAATTCACATTGGAGTTTTATTTTATTTTTATTTGTCATGCCTGGCTCGTGGCCAGCCGCCGTTTTGACTGCACAAAACTCGGCCAAGTGAAAGTTGCGCCAGCAGCTCAGACTACCATAAATAATATTATTTAATTAAAATCAAGCGGCAAAAAAGTTTGAAGCACAACTTTTTCCGTTGCACTTTACGAGCCGTTTAAAATGCTAAATGCCTTTACTCATTTGTATTTTATTGATTAACACATAAAAATTACAAAAACTTTTTTTGCTGCACGGCCAGACAGAGATATAGACAGACATAAAATGAATTTATTAACTGCAAGTTGGGGCGTACGAGTATAACTTGAAAATCAACAGCCCGTAATTAATACCGAGCACATTGCTCATACGCCACATGGGCTGTCGCAGCAGCAGCAGCGACAAGAGTTGCCGCCGCAGAGTCACTTAAAAGCTTTGCCAGCCCATAAACTTGCTGTCCCGCCTCTCCCTTTAACCACCATCCTGCTTGCTCCACAATGTTCGAGTCTGTCTCTGTGTGTGTGATAAAAGTTTCGTTACATTTTTGTTGCTTTTCCTTTACTTGATTTGGGCAAACATGTTAACAAATTTTTATGAGCAGCAAACAAGCAGTCGTCAGTGACGGCGTGTGGCAACTCTGACAGTCAACTTGTGCTTGTTACGCTAAAGAACAATGTGCATGAGCGTGTATGTGCCTGTGTGTGTGTGTGTGTGAGTGTGCCTTGCTGTGCGTGTGCCTCGGCACATTTATTATTATTTTTATATCGTGATAAATCACTCATAAATATTAAACGCACGCTTCCAAGCGCCAACAAAGTTTTTGAATTTTGAGTCAGCCCAGAAAATTGGGCTCTTCGGCCTTTGCGGGGGGCCCTGCAGGGTGGAGGGGGGCATGTCCTTGCACAGTTTCACGCACAGTGCGCTGAGTTCTGTTTTATGTGCTTTTCACGAAATGACAAATTTCGTTGTTGCTTTTGTGGTCTTATTTTTTTTTTTTTCATTGCGTGTCGCCCGCTCTCTCTTTTCTAGTTCCAGTCCCACATTTATTTATTTATTTTTGTTTTATATTAGCTTGGCAGGAAGTGGCAAGAAGGCGTGATAATTTTTATTATAAGCCATAAAACTAAAAACAGTAATAATATTAAACTTATTTTATGTGCTCTACTACTCTCGGGCTAATTTGCATATTTGCCTTTAATTTAATGCCATTCGCCGCGAATTTTATGTGCCACATTGCGTTTTATTTCGCTCATTGCGCTCATTGCGATTGACAAACTTTTCAATTGATAATCGTCCAAAAATCTGTGCTGCCGGTCATAGCAACAATAACTTTTGATTGCCTTGCGGACGGGAGTTGTGGGGGTGTGGTGGGAACATCGATAAAATAAGTAGCAGTATTTGAACAAAATAACAATTTTAATGCATTTCCATTGTTGTACGATTATTTTGTTGCCTGGCTTTGAGGCATGCAATTAAAGTTTCTGCCGTCTGGGCGTGGCGGCAGGCACCAGGCAGCAGGCAGCAAAAGCTTCACAAAATTGTTGCCCAAAAATGTGGTAGAAAAGTTTGTACATTGATTGGTAAATAACCAACAAAACCCAAAAAAAAAAAGGAAAAAAAGTTGTGGCATACTTTTTCGGGCAGCGTTGACAAATACTTCCCCGCCCCCCTTCCTGTCCCTTGGCCTATGCCTGGCTGCCATTCATTAGCCGGAATGGGAACAGCAGCTGGCGGCTTATTAATCCCTCTCGCATGGACCGCAAAAAGTTGCAGCTTGAAGTGGCGGTAGTTGCGCAATCTTTTCATGTTAATCGCCTGCGGGCCAAGTGGTTGCAATTACAACAACAGTTACAACAAAAACTGCAGCACAACTCCGTGCAACTTCAGGCAGCGCAACGAAGTTGCTCGTAGCCTCCATGGCGGCGGCGGCACGGGCTCCGCTCTAATTCACTCGACAAAGTTTTGAACCGGAAATGCTTATAATTATGCAACATTTTTGTGGAGCGCCAGGACAGGGAAGAACAGGGTCGGGTTCGGGTCGAGTCAGTAGCTGCGCTCTTGCCACACAATAAAAACAGTTTCAAATGCCATTAACGGTTAACTAAATAGCAAGCAGGCAGTAAGGCAGCCAGCCAGCCAGCCAACCAGTTATGGAGCCAGTGAGCTAACACAAGCCGCCAAGTTCGTGTATTTCTTGCGCCTGAACTGTTGTGCACCTCAAGCGCACGGTGTTAATGGCGCCAGTGCGGCCTGCCGCGACCCTCACCACCTTTCAACGCGACTCTCCACACCTCACGACACCCGCTCCGCTGCACTTTTAATTAGCGCGTGCCTGGCCTCAGCTTCATAGTCAGGCATTTGCCCTAAATGCGCTTAAACTGCGCGCTCTGTGGGCCAAGTGGGCCAGCGACAGGGACAGGGGCGAGGCGGGGCGGGGGGCAGCACTTTCCGACTGTTGAGAGTTTCAGCAAGTTCCGGCAACTGAATGCTGTTTTTGCCACGCTTTTCAAGCTGCAGCATTTTTCTTTTTTCCTTTCTTTCTCCTCGACAGTGTGTGTGTGGTGTGTGTAGATTTTGGTATTTGAAAGTTGGCCGAAAAAGTTCTTTTAGCCTGCATACAAGTTGCAGTTTTGGCGTTACGCTTTAAGGCTTTAATAGCGAGAGAAAACGAGAGAAACAATTGGCATGACTGACATGTCAGTGACTCGTTACTTAATTGTGTCCGTTCTGAGGTCGACGCTGCCATTGGCGCCATTTCAACGACAACGACAACGAGAACGACAATGACGACTGCAAAACACTGTGATTACATTTAAGCCAATTAGTTTGCCAACAATTGCAGCCACTTGCGTGCCCAGCGTTGCATTCAAGCTCTTAGTCTACACACACACACACACACACACGAACACACACACATACGAGTATATAGCACACATAAGTAGATGCTTGTGTGTTTGTTTGTCTCTGTGGGCGGTCGCTTCGGTCACAATGTTGCATGTTCGTGCTCTTTTTCCCTGCATTCATCGTTTGGGGTCAACAAAACAAAAGCCAATACAGTGCTATCCCATAGATTTTGTCATTGAATAGTGCGGTCAGCATGCCAAAGTTGTTGGTGTTGTTGTTGTCGTGATTATGTAAAATAACAAAGTTGCAAGACAGTAAACAAGTGTGTGAAAATGCAGTGAAGCTTCTTTAAAGCGACTAAATATTAAGTATATAATAATAATAATAGTTTGCGGTTAAGACCAACGTAAATTAGAAAGGCACTAAGGTTGGTAATGCCGGGCTTAAGGGAATGTATTTAAATATTTAGGGCTAACATAGCTAACATGACTGGTGAATCTCCAATCCACCTCCAGATAAGGAAGAAGAAATGGATGTGGATTGGCCACGCGCTGCGAAAGGACCCACACAGCATTGTAAGGATGGCGCTAGACTGGAACCCCCAAGGAAGCAGACGGGTCGGCAGACCTAAGATAACTTGGCGACGGACCACCCTTCAGGAATTATCCCATAACAACATCACATGGGACACAGCTAGACAGACGGCCAGAAATAGAGTTCGATGGAAAGTACTTGTAGAAGCCCTAAGCTCCCAAGTGGAGTAAAACAGGAATAAAAAAAAACATAGGGTTCTATTATAACTGGTTGGGCTTTGAAAATAATTGCTATGGCAATAAACATCGCATTCGAATTAGCAGTTTTCATGGAATATGCAAAAAGAAAATATCCACAAAGACAAATATAGAGAACAATAACTAGAATGTCGACAAACCGTTGTGAAATCAATACCCTTCTAAAACGACAAATATGAAAACCTAAACAAGCTGCAAAATATTCAGGTCGTTTAATTTAGTTCAAGTTAGGTTTTTCTTTTTATATTGGTAAATCCTTTGACACTTCTGACCACACTTGGCTGTGAGACGGAGCTGGGGGTCGGAGGCGTTAATTGGATATTATTGTAATTTGATTAGATTTCTCCTACTTAGGCTTTTCTACCTTATCAGATGCTTTTTATAATTTTTATTTGTTGTTCTCCTATGTCGGCAGTCAATGTTTGTTGACATAAATATAAATAAATAAGTCACTTAATTTGGATTTAAAAGCTCATATTCTATATCATTGCCGGGCGATTTGGATCTGCAAATTTACACAATACACCTAATTATGTTTATATACGGTAGATTGATTCCAGAAACAACCGTGTAAAAAAAGACATCGATCATATGCAAAAATAGGTGATTGGTTCCTTATCTTTAAAGAAATATATATGCAATTTGAAAATTTTCAAACCGTGTTATATCAAAATCGTGTAAAAAAGACCGTGTGAAAATAGCAACTGTGAAAATTTTTAGATTTATACAGGAAAATTCGTCAAAAAATCACATTAAATAAATAATACCTTTTCAGTTATTAAGTCTATTAATGATATCTATTAAATAACTATGAAGTCTCTGTTAAAGTAAAGGACTTTTTTAACAAACAGAAAAAGTGTAGTAAACATGGTTACTAAATTCATTAAAACTATATCTTTATAGTTATGAAGTTACTTCTAAAACATATCGACTGTAACAACAACAACAACAACAACGACTAGCCGCAGCCAATCAAAAAGAGCAAGCGCCCTGCTCCATAAACGAGGTCGCAGCTGGCGAAACGGACGAGTGCGCCTAAAATGCTGCTGCAGAATGCGCTGCATGTGCCCAAAACTTGTAGTCCCTCCCTGTTGGTGGCGGTGGCGTCGGGTCTCGGGTCTCGGGTTGCTGCGGTTACGTTTGGCGTGCTCAACTATTTTGTGGCTCTGTTTGCCTTGCTTTGCTGCATTTTAAACACCATTCTTGCCCATGGCACAGACATTTGTAGTCGAGTTTATGGCTTTATTTATTTAGCGCATAAATTTGTGCGCGGCATTCTTTTTTCGGCATGGCTTGTTTGGCAGAGATTGTTGCAGGGGCTCAATGTATGGCGAAGCGACATGTTTTTGGGAGGTTGGATGGGCAGAACATTTGTTCGTATTCATTTGGTTTTGTATAAAGGGCTGAACAGAACAAGTCGCCAAAGTCTAGCCGACGGCTTAAAGTGCCCAACAGCCGCCACAAAGTTGAACGCTCGAAGGCGTTGCTAGACCCGAAAGTTTCTAGCACGCCTCGATGATTGTCTGAAAACCGCAGCACTTTAAGTGCCCAGGGACCTCGCTTTACCTCTTAATGTTCCTGGCAAACTTAAAGCGATTTGTGCAGAGCTCTTCCGGTTCCCCGTCGTCGCTCTAAGTGCAATTGTTTTTATTGTCAGCGCAGGGTTACATGCAAAGTTCATTAAGTTTGCTCGTCGCCTACCCAATTGTGGCAATTTTGGCTTTTAATAGCGACGTCGAATTTCAGTGCAGGCTCTGTGTTGTGGTATAGAGAGTGCGGGAGATGAAAAGGCTTGCATGGCAGCTGCAGCTGGGACTCTCACGCTTAAGCGGCAATTAACGTTCACAATGAAGCGGGCCACTTCAACATGCACGCCATTGTTTTGTTGTGTTGGCGACACTTGAGCTGCAAGTGGTTGCCAAATGCAGCAACAGCCCAAGGGAGGGCCAGAGGGGGGCGTAGAATTAAGTGAGAGAGACCCACATCATTGGTAGCAAGGAGTACAAACAGAATGCTGCTTGCCGTCTTCTTTATTATTCATCCCACTCTCACTTTGCAAATTAGTTGCCTTGTTCTTTTAAAATGCAATTAAGTGGCAATGCTTGGCATTTACTCGAGACGTCGCTACATTGCGGGGTAAGCGGCTTTCAATTTTAATTGGCAGACAAACAATTCAGCAGACACTCAAAGGGACATGCTACGGTTCAAACTAAGTATGAGCACCCATTTCCTAAATGACAACTATCAGAAAAGACAAAAAGCAAAAAAAGCGAGAGCAACCAGAATATACTCGTATGGCAATTAAATTTTGTGCGCTCGTTCAAAAAACGTGCCCCAACACAAAACACTGAACAGAAGGTGGAGGTGTACTGGAGAGACTCCTGAAAATTGCAATTTCGTTTAACAGAAAAATAGGAATTTTTAATTTTCACATCATTACGAAATACCGAAAACACAGCCACCAAACCGAAGGCAGAACCCAAGCGACCGAACGCCAGAGATGGCACAAACAATTTTAACCTTACGACATTAAAGGTTAATACCTCTTATGACCACGATATACAGACAGTCACACACACACACACTCCTACACAGCTGTGGTGGTGTGGTCTTTGCTGTTCTACGGCGACAACAATGAAACGCCAGCGCAGACACAGAAGCCGAATGAAAAAGTAAACCAGAACAACAATTAATAATGAATTGTATTGCGAATTGTGTAAAACCGCAAAAGCGCCAAGGGCTGAGGCAAGGAAGAGGAGAACGAGCAGGCCACGTCAGTTTACGCATTCATTTTGTACGCCCCATGTTGGGCGCCGAGCTCGTTGGCTCGTTACGTTTCAATGTTCTTCATTACGTGAGTGGGCAGCGACACTTAAAAAGTGCCGGACTGCAGGCGGACGTTGAAGCTGGCTAGATGAATGGACGTGCGCGTCAAGCGGCAGCGACAACAACATAATGGAAAGTATATTACAAAATGTGCGACGGTTTGGTGGCAATTTGCGGGTTAGAGTGAATGGGGCAAGGGCAGGGACTGCCACACGTAAAGCGTTTAGAAAAAATTGCTGTTTCAACAAATTTACAACGGAAGTGGATGTGTTTTGTGCCTCTCCCCTTGGGCAGGTATGTGTATATATGTGTGTGGCCACCATGTTACAACAATAGTGTTTGTGTGTGCCAGTGCGTTTGTGTGGTCGCCAGTGGCCAGGCGCGTGATGAATGTGCATAGCCATCGATTTGCACTCAACTCCATTCTGCACTTTCACATTTCATGGGCTACATAATTTGTGCGAGGCACTAGTCCTTACCCGACCCCATCATCATCTCCTTTAGCAGTCGAAGCTGCGCGTCAGCACGGATTTCATTTTGTTTTGTGATGTGTTTGCGGTGGACAATGAAAAATCACCCAAACGAAGCGGCTGGCTGACTGCATGTGCTGGCCGGGTCCGGAAGTATTTCGCACTTGCGAGGAATTGTTTTTTTTTTTTTTGTTGTTCAATGTTAGCCTGCTTTAGGCCCACCCACTGCTTCGCTTAGACTCTGTGTATGTATGTACTCACATTCATTTCCTGGCAACGTGTGTCCTGTCAAACCGGGTATGCCGGTCACGCCAACGCCGCCAACCCCGACCACACCGCCGGCACCAACGACGCCGCTACCCGGATGGTAGCTATAGCCATTTTGTGTTGCATACAGAGCCGTCTTCTGCTCCTCCATGCTCAACGCGAGGTCCATAGAGTGCTCCAGCGCCTTGTTGTCCAGTCCACTAGCCGGGTAGTAGGGCGGCGGTGCCTGGTTCTGTTGTGCGGCCACAATTGACGGCCGCACCGAGTCCATCTCGTAGTCCTTAGCGGCGGCGCTCTTCTTCGACTGGTTGCGTTTGCAGCGGCAGAACATGAGCAACAGACCGGCGAACAGAGCGAACACAATGCACGACACGATTATCGCAATGAGCGTGGGGGTGGCGAGCGCACTTGCCTCAGCGATGTAAGGGCGGCCAACTGCGGAGAATGGGAGAAAGAGGGAGTACGAGTAGTGTGAGAACAAGGTAAAGATTGAAATGAAGCCATGAAAAATGCAACGCCACTCAGGCGAGTTAAAGTGGATGGATGAATGAATGGATGGGACGACCGTCACAACACCACCATTCAAGTGGTGCAATCGTTCGTAATGGTTTTGCATATAATGCAAATGACCATTGCTATACCAAGCATGTCCCCCTACTTACTTTCAGCGTCCGTGTATTCGCCACAGTGCTCGGGATTGTTGCGCAGGCAGAGTTTCACGCGCACCGTTGGACTGTTGTCATCTTCAAGTGCCAGAGTATTCAGACCCGCATCGTCCTCATCCTCGCTTATGGTGTGACCAAGGGCGCGGCCGCCTCCACTGCGACGTGGTGCAATCAAACGATCGATGACCTTTTCCTTGTGCGTGGGTCCATTGCCAGACAGCTGCAGATTCTCTACGGTATCCACAACTTCCCAGGCGGCCATGGGCGTGTCACCATGCACCATGGTCTCTACAACCGCGACAAGCGAAAGACATGTGGCGCCTACATCGATGCCCAGAGTTCGTGTGCTTGGCTCATATGTGACCTGTAGCGGGGGTGGAATGCGGCTAACCTTGGTGGTGGTCATAATTTCGTTGGAGTAAGGTGAATTGCCTTTCGGATTCAACGCATTAACCTTGAACGCGTAGCTCTGATGCTGATCCAGTGAGGTAACCTTGCATGGGTTGTCACGGTGGCAGTCAACCTCGACCCACTCTGTGCTGGATGTGGCCAGTGCTGCGCAATCTGGTATCAACTGTTCCTCACGTGGCATGGCAACGCGTCGGTAGCTCACAAAGAATTTGGTCTTGCTCAGACCACCATCGAAACCTGGGTCCCAGCTAAGAGTCACGTAATTGTGGCCTACGTCAGTTGTCCGCAAGTTTGTTGGCTTTTCCGGTGCGCCTTTTTGTTGCAAACGAATGGGAGCGCGAATGGTGTCCAGTGAGTTGACAACCCGACAGGTATACTCGCCATAGTCGGAATGCGTGAGCGCATTGATGCGCAGCACGGACGTGTATATGTCATTGTTGTCTGTGGTTGTACTTATTTCATAATGACCATCAGACGACATGGTCAGAGGGGAGGGGTTGTTGCCGAATTGCCATTGGAATTCGGGCTTGGGATATGCCTGAACTTTGCATACTACTTCTGCGGTCTCCCGAATATCGTAGGCAACTTTGTTATACTGATGCAAGACGATGGGTTCGTGTTCAATGCGTAGTTGCATAGATGAGTTCGCCGAATTTACTTCGTTTTGGTAAAGACAGGTGTAGAGGCCGCGATCGCCAGGGACGAGTTGATTGCTATTTGGACGAGCCTTGCCTCGGAACTTGAGCATGCTTTGCACTGTTACCATACCATTTGGTCCCTGATCCGGATCTGTCTTGACCTCATACAGATTGAGTTCAGGTAGAATTTCAACACCATCCTTCAGCCACTTGATGCTGGGTGCAGGTTTACCCTTAGCACTACAGGTCACTGCGTAGTCTGTATCTGCCACACGTCGCGTCATATGCTGCTGTAATTTCGCCAGAAACTGAGGTGGCTGATGTATTTCCAGCACAATGGTTGCCAACTTGCCAATACCCAGCTCGTTCACAGCATGACAATGGTACTTGCCCTCATTGCCTAGATGGGCCTTGGGTATGGAGTACTGTGGGCCCGCTGCCAATATTTTCTGTGCAGTTGAGAACTCGCCTTCCATGTCGCGGAACCAGCGGTATTGAGGCACTGGCCAGCCAGGTGGATTGGCAGAACAGGTGAGTGTAACTCCATTGCCTACATGCACAACGGGTTTATTCGGCGTAATATAAGCCTGTCCCGGACGATGGCGTACTAGCAATGCAACTGTGGAATTTCCCACACGCTCACTACGCTCCTGACCCTGACTATGCATGATGTTAACGGCACGACAAATGTAGTTGCCAGCATGTTCGGCGCGCACAGAGGCGAGGGTCAACACCTCACCGTTGTACCGAAAATCGGGAGCTCCTTCCTTCAGCCATTCGATGGTCACTGGCGACGGATTGGCCGTCACATTGCAGCGTATATTCACAGTCTCACCCTCCTCTGCCTCACGCGTCTTAGACTCGATAACCACTGTGGGCGGGTACAGGATGTCCAAAATAAGCTCCTGCTCCCCCGTCTTGCCAAGTCCGTTGTCGGCACTGCACGTGTACTTTCCGCCATCCTGCACGCTCACACGATGTATGGTGTGCACGAGCGAGGAGCTAATGAAGCGCCCGTTGCGTGTCCAGCGCACATTCGGCACTTTCGGTTTCGCATCTACGTTACACTCCAATTTGGCAGTGCGGTCACGTTCTACGCGCAGTGGATTCTCTGGTCCAACCTCGACGCGCGGATAGTCTGCAAATAAATGGAAGAAAATAACCAAAATTAGCAAGAATTGTTGTACATTGGAATGTGTATGTGTGGTAAGGTGCGGTATTACGAGTACTTGGGGTTAAATCAAAGCACCAGCCGCTACTTGTATGCGGCAAAAGATGAAAATTAATAAACATGAAACATTTGCCATAATCAGCAGACGATGGTGTTCACAAACTCGTAATTGAATTGAAAGGACCTTCGTACACACGGTCCCCTGTCGTATCTTTGTGATTAGTGGCCCGGTTGTCTGTCGACTTATTAGGCACGAAATTCGCCAATTATTAATTGAACTAATGAAGTGTGCTCAATGGCGGCTTAACACAAGACTCATTAGCGCTAAGAGAAGTGACAGAGAGAGTGCTGGATCAGCTTTATTATCTCTATCCATGCACTTGGCCACTTGCCTTTGTCTACCGCAGAAACTGCAACCTGCACACAAGCTCTCAATCTCAATCTGTTGTCATTAGTAGTTTTGCCTTGCACCGCAAATGACGCGATATTATGTGAAAGCCTTCCTTTATCTCTACCCACTCCACGTGTAATTAAACGCCGCAGCCAAGTGTCTCTACTACCTTCTGCCTAATGACTGCCATAAACTCGCTAGCCGGAGCAGCAGTTGAAGGCGCCGCAGTCGCAGCCGTAGCCGTAGCCGCAGCCACCGACACTACTTCAAATTGACAGCTCGGCCGCAATCTCAAGAAAGTGGAGCACAGCCCTCTGTAAATTGTGGTAAATTGCGTGATTTGCTCTGCTCTCGCGACTACCTGCCTTTAAGTGGCCGACAGGTGACCCATGCCAGGTGTATAACTTCGCCTTGCCTCCAATTTCATTCCATTGCCTTGTGCTGTACCCTTCGTGTTTATGTGCGTGTAATTACATTTGATTGTCTGCTTTGTACTCGACCCGACTTCGTGGCCGACCGCAACCCATTAAAAAATTGTTAGAAATTGACGACGCCGACGACGTCGACGGCGCCCGTTCTCATTGTTTGCACTGCTCGCGATTCTAGGCCCATTTTGGGGGCACTGCTAAATGGCTTCAAATTGGCCTAATTGTCACTTTGTGAACATGTTTTACACATTTAGGCCAAGCAGGCAACCAAGACGACCCGCTTGCGTGTGTCTGGCCCCACCCAAAGTGCATTTATTGCCGCCACTGCCACTGCCACCGCATTCCATGCATTTCATAATAATTCTCATGTTGGAGAAACATTACACAAATCTAGGGACTTGAAATGGGCAGCGATCAGGAGTCGCTTTCAACACTGCACAGCGCAATTATTTGTAGCCCTCACTATTGGCCGTGTCCACAAATAATGAACAGTGCTCTCACTCACTCTCTCTCCTCTCTCTTCTACTCTCACGGTAGGCTGGCATTTCAAAAACAATTTTATGCGTGTTTTGCATATAAATTTCTTGTTCAACTATGGATAAGGTGAGGGGCAAATGGCAGAAGGGACGACACTGAATATGGCCAGGCAACGCGGTCTCTTAAATTATGTACGTAAATAATTGAATTAGTTTGGCAATGTCCATAGAACGATTGGTGGTGGGTAGCGGGCGATGAGCACTGCACATACAAATACTGAGGTCTCTGATCCTTTGTTTGGCGAGGGCTTCCCTTCTGTGCAAATCGTGTTAGAAATATTTTTCCAATCAATTGCCAAATTGTTGGCTTGTAAGTAGGCATAGAAAAGCATTTTGCTTTCGTTCGCTCCGTCTTTGTTTCTCATTCCTCTTTGCGCTCTTTTTTCCTTTCTTTTTTTTTACTTACAAGCTATTCGCTTGGAAAATGCTATTAACACGCGACGCCTGAAAGTATGCTTCGAAAAATTTACACCAACAGCAAATGAAATTTGTGTGATAAGCGGGCGAGAAATGTGTAAAAAATTAAAAATTTAGTCGTTTGGTGCGCGCGCCGCGTGCGTTATAAACAATTTATGGCTAATCTGCTGCCGGCAGCGGCAGCAGCAGCAGTAGCAGCACCAACAGAAAAAAAGTAGCAATGGCGCCTGTGACGTCGACTCTCTTTGGTGTGTATTAAAAAACCATTAGACTCGGCGGCCATTCCCCTCGATTTGGTGCAAGTGTAACACAATCTACGCAGCATAAAATTTAATTTTCAATTTTCGCTTTGCTTAACTCAATTTACAGTCCGCCCGCCCCTTCCACATCCAAATTATTTGTCGGTAGGAGCGCCTCACTGCGTTAAAAGTCCATTCGTCAACGACAATGCTTGGCATTGAGCGGCAGCAGCTTCATCTCCTACTTAGGTCCTAACGCAATTTGAACGCATCTTTGGCATTGGTGTTGGCGCTGGCTTTGGCTGCTAAGCAACAATTAGTTATTAGGAATCTCCCGCTGGCTGCCTAATTTAGTTATGGACACGCGTTGAGCATGACAAAGAGAACTGGCGCCTAAGACCAGGGGCCCGAGCCCAGGACAAGACCCAAGCCCATGAACCGACTTCGGCTCATTCTCATGCGCATCCGTTTTGGTGTTCGCATACTTTTTCAAAGCCCTTTTCCTTGCACGCGTCGTCGCCTAATCGGGCAACTTAAGCCGCAGCAAATGAGTTTCATTTTCATTTTTATTATGTCCAGTTCATCAACACACGGCCAAATGTGCCAGCCCGAGTGGGTGTCCAGTGTCCCGACCATTGCCATCTTTTAAATGAATTTGCACGCAGCAGGTCGTCCCTGCTGGCCCCTTTAAGCGTCCAGGCTTATGCCGATGACTTAACGTCTGCCCATTAAAAACTATCAGCGAGCTGGAGCAATAAAATTAGACCAACTACGTTTAATATTAATTTCAATTAGAAAAAGCGATTTAAAAGCAGCCAAAAAAACGTGGCCAACAATGAAATTGGCTGCCACAAAATGGCAGAAAGAAAGTCAAAAAGGCACCAACAAAAAAAAAGGCCATTAAAAATAATCGAGCGCGATTGTAGCTAGTAGCAAGCCACTAACTACAACACCAAACCATAGGAACTTGTCTACTTGGCTGGCTTTATAAATGGGCTAAATCCAATTTTGATATGTGTGTGTGTGTGTGTGTGTTTGTGTGTGGGACTGGGCCAAGTGGAGGCACGCGCGCGCCACAGGCCACAAACAACAAATAACAACAGTGTCTGCTGCGACTTCACTGGGCAAGTTGAAAGGGAATTAAAATTTGAGCACATCTACAGATATCAGGCTAACTGATGAGCGGAGCACAACGGGCGGTTGCCACGTACGCGAAATTGGCAAACAAACATTTTGCCAAAAGCAGACTGAGCAGCAACTTGGGCAACAAGGCCGCGCCGAGATAAATGATAAGGCGGCCGCATTTTGAAGGCAACCAGCCAAGCGGTAGCCCCAGAGCAGTAACAGAGCCAGTAATAAGATTGGTGGTAGCAGCAGCAGCAGCAGCCGCCGCAAAACCCTGAAGCCGAAACGCATTCAATCAAAGCCCAAAGTGAAATGGCAGCAGCAGCCCCAGTTCGAACCCACTTTTCTTTCTGCTTTTTTGCTGAACTAATGAATACGAAATTAAAAAGTACTGAGCAGCTTCTAAAACTAAAATAAACCATTTACCCATCTCATCTCAAACTCAAAGGTTCCCAAGTGACCAAACACAATAAATTATGGGAGCCTACTCAGCCTCAATGTTATCTTTTTGTTTTCCCCCATCTAAGCAGTCAGGAGCAGCGTAAGCCCATACTCTGAGCCTACAGCAGCCACAATTAATGTGGGGCTCAACATCTATTACTACAAGGTTTATGCGAAGCATCAAAATTATCCTTCATTGAAATTGTTAAGCACCACTAAAAATTATTTATGCCCGAGAGAATAAACTTATCGCTTTAATTTAAGATTTACTCAAAAGTTCTACAACTGGATAACTGAAACATAATAAGTGCATATCAAGAATTATTTACTTGTATCTTACGAGTAACTTATTGAGATGTAGCTGCTACTGTTTTTCTGTTTTTCGGCAGCTGGAGAACTTAGTCTTAAATGAATTGTTAGTTCAAAATCGTATTGGTAGTTCATACTCGTATTAGTTGTTGTGCCAATAAAATGTGCTACATGCTTGATATATCCAAGCATTGTAGTGCATTCAGTAAAAATCCACAACTGATTTCTAATAATTTGAAGACTCTGTTCTTATGGTATTTTATTTATATTTCTAAGAATTAATCGCACTCTCAAGAATGGCAGTGTTCGAGTTATCAGTACTCATGATTCACGTTCTTCGTATAAACGTTCATTATCGCCTTTTTTTCAAACTACATACATACATATACTCGCATATATAGTATGTACATATGCTTGGCATTTAATTCGATTGCTTGGAAATCTATCTTAGAGCCAGCACTGACCAGCAGACGGGACGTCATTGCCTGGGCTAATGTTATTGACCCGCCACTCGGCTACTTCCTGCTGCTCTATCCAACTGGTCTCCACCTATTCGCCCCTCCTGCTTCACCTTATCTTGCACACTCTTTAAAACTTTAACGCACGCATGTGTGCTGCTTCTTTGCTCGTCCAACTTATCACAGACTCATCGTCATTGGTATCTCTTGCTTCACATCTCTTCTGATTCTTCGCCTCTCTCTGGTCTATACTTGTAGTTTAATGCCACAGCCTGTGCCGTGGCCAAGTTTATGTTGCCATGATTTTCATCATCTACTAAATGTTTTCTTTGCTTTCAAGTTTTTCTTGTTCTCGATGCTGTTCCTACACATATGCCACTCACACGTGAGTGTGCGCTGGTACATCTGGTTTGCCGTTTGCTGCTTTTGTAACTTGTTAGTTTTCTTTAGTGCCCTCCGACAACAACAACAGCAACAACAACAAGTCGACTATCACTCCACTCCAGCCACAGCCACAGCCCGAGTCTTGTTCTTGTCTTGTTTTCCTATTAAGTCAAGAATTTTTATAGCATTTAGTTGGAAAAGCTCAACATATTTTTGCCACTGTCCGACGCACTCACTGT